AGAAAGAAATTTAGAAAAGGCACTTGATTGTTTTGATAAAGCAGCAAAGAACGAACATGAAGCGGCGCTATATAATTTAGGCAGATATTATCAATATGGAATATATGTTACAAAAGATGAAGCCAAAGCTTTTAACTATTATAAAAAATCAGCCGAAAAAGAATATGTTGAAGCACAGTTAAAACTTGGATGTTGTTATTCAAGTGGAATCGGAACTGAAATTAACAAAGAAAAGGCATTTGAATTATACAATGTTGCAGCTGAAAATGAACATATTACCGCACAATATAATTTAGCCATATGTTATCAATATGGAGAAGGTACCAAGAAAAATCTCGTTAAAGCTTTTGAATTTTACAAAAAATCAGCTAAAAAAGATTTAGTTGATGCACAACTTCAACTTGGACATTGTTATGCTAATGGAATTGGAATTAAGATTAACAAAGAAAAAGCGTTTAAAATATATAAAAAGCGGCGGAAAAAGAATATAATGTTGCACAATATAATTTGGCTTTATGTTATCAAAATGGAATAGGTACCGAAAAAAATGAGGATAAAGCTTTTGAATATTATAAAAGATCAGCTGAAAAAGGTTATGTCGATGCCAAATTTAAACTTGGATATTGTTACTATTATGGAATCGGAACCGAAATTAATTATAACAAGGCATTTGAGCAATATACATTAGCCGCTGCAAAAGAACATGTTTATGCACAATATAATTTAGGACAATTTTATAGATTAGGAATTGGTACTAAAATAAATAAAGACAAGGCATTTATGTATTATAAAAAATCAGCTGATAAAGGACATCTCGAAGCAGAATTTAAACTTGGATATTGTTATGATTGTGGAATAGGGACTGAAATTGATAAAAAAAAGCATTCAAGTTATATAAAATAGCAGCTGACAATAAAATTACTGCTGCAATATATAACCTAGGACAATTTTATATGTTAGGAATAGTTGTTAAAAAAGATGAAAATAAAGCTTTTGAATATTATAAGCAATCGGCTGAAGAGGGATTTATTGACGGACAATTTAAAGTTGGATATTGCTATTATTTTGGAATTGGAACTGTAATTAATAAGGAAAAAGCATTTGAATTTTGTAAAATAGCTGCCGAAAATGAACATATTTATGCACAATATAACCTTGGACAATTTTATAGATTAGGAATAGGCATTGAAAAGAATGAAGATAAAGCTTTTGAATATTATAAAAAATCAGCCGAAAAAGAATATGTTGAAGCAGAATTTAAGCTTGGATATTGCTATTCAAATGGAATTGGGACTGAAATTAATAAAGCAAAAGCATTTGAATTATATAAAATAGCAGCTGAAAAAGGACATGATATGGCTCAAAATAGCCTTGCATTATTATATGAATATGGTAAAAATACAGAAAAGAATTTAGAGAAAGCTTTTTACTGGTATAATAAAGCAGCAAAAAATGGAAATGGTATTGCACAATATAATTTAGGCAGATGTTATCAATATGGGATTGGTAATAAAATGGATGAAATTAAGGCTTGTATGTATTATAAAAAATCGGCTGAAAAACGATATGCATTTGCAGAATTCCAACTTGGCTATTGTTATGATTATGGAGTTGGAACCTACACTAATAAGGAAGAAGCATTTAAAAAATATCAAATTGCGGCTAAAAAAGAACATATTATAGCTCAAAATAGCCTTGCGTTATTATATGAAAATGGCCAAGGTATCAAAAAAGATTTGAAACATGCAATTTATTGGTATAATAAAGCAGCAACAAATGGAAATGAAGTGGCACAATATAATATGGGTAGATGTTATAGATTAGGAATTGGTGTTGAAAAAGATGAAAGTAAAGCTTTTGAATATTATAAGATTTCAGCTGAAAAAGGATATTGCATAGCTCAATATCATCTTGGTTATTTATATGAACATGGCAGAAATATAAAAAAAGACTTCGAACAAGCTATTTATTGGTATAATAAAGCAACAGAAAATGGATATGAAATTGCACAATATAGTTTAGGAAGATGTATCAAATTAGAAATAAGTTTTAAACAAAATAAAGAAAAGGAATCCAAAGCTTATGAAGGTGGTGAAGGCATTATAGAGGAAAATTTGAAAAAAGCATTTCGTTGGTATAATAAAGTAGCAGATGCCGTTGTACAATACCATATAGGTGGTGGCTTTAGTTTAGGAATAGGAATTGAAAAAGACGAATTTAAGGCTTTTGATTATTATAGAAAATCAGCCAGGAAAGGATATAGTTTAGCTCAAAATAATCTTGGGTTGCTATATGAAAATGGAGAAGTTATGGAAAAAGATTTAGAAAAAGCTATTTATTGGTATAACAAAGCAGCAGAAAATGGAAATAGAATTGCGCAATATAATTTAGGCAGATGTTATCAATATGGAATTGGTGTTAAAAAGGATGAAACAAAAGCGTTCAAACATTATGAACTATCGGCTAAAGATGAATACGAAACTGCACAATATCAACTTGGTTATTGTTATGCAAATGGAATTGGTACCGAAATCAATAAAGAAAAGTCCTTTCAATTATATGAAATTGCTGCTAAAAAAGAACATAGTATGGCTCAAAATAGTCTTGCATCGGCATATGAAAATGGCGAAGGCACAGAAATTAATTTGAATAAAGCTATTTATTGGTATAATAAGTCGGCACAAAATGGAAATGAAGTTGCTCAATATAATATGGGGGATTGTTATCGGTTAGGAATAGGAGTTGAAAAGAATGAAATTAAAGCGTTTGAGTTTTATAATGAATCAGCAGAAAATGGCGACATTGATGCAAAAACTCAACTTGGACATTGTTATATGAATGGAATAGGAATAGTAATTAATGAAAAATTGGCATTTAAATCATATAAAGAGGCAGCTGAAAGAGGAAATAGTTTTGCTCAAAACAATCTTGCATTATTATATGTAAATGGTAAAGGTACAGAAAAAGATTTAGTAAAAGCCATTTATTGGTTTAAAAAATCAGCAAAAAATGGTAATAATATAGCACAGAGTAATTTAGGCGAGTTTTATGAATTAGGAAATGGTGTTTCTAAAAATGAAGATAAAGCATTTAAACTTTATAAGAAATCAGTAGAAAATGGAAACACGGGAGCGAAATTTCATCTTGGGTATTGTTATGTAAATGGGATTGGAGTACAAATAAATAAAAAAAAAGGAATTGAGTTATATAATGAGGCTGTTGAAAAGAAAGAAAATGGTTTAGACGAAGTTGGTTATTGGTATCAAAAAGCAGCAGAACATGATAATAGAGTTGCGTTATACAATTTGGGCAATATGTATGAATTAGGAAGGGGTATTGGTGTAAATAAAGTTAGAGCATTTGAATTTTATAAAAAATCAGCTAGTAAAGGGCACATTTATGCTCAATATAGGCTCGGGTATTGTTATGAACATGGAATTGGAACCGAAATTGATAAAAAAAAGGCATATGATATGTGCAAAAAAGCTGCTGAGAATCAAATAATAAGATATTAAAAAGATATATTTATAAATACCGGTATATTAAGAAATTATAGTTTAGCATATCTAAAGGCTGGTTCCTTTTTTCGTGCGCAGTTTGTATTTGTTGCCAAGTTAGCACTTTTTTTTCGTATTATAGACATTTTTAATTCATTTCTTTCATCTTGTAAATTTATTGTATATAAATGTAAGATTACTCATAATAAAGCGTATGATATATTGCTTTAACTAATAAGGTTGTTACGTCTATGAACTTTTATTAAAGTTTCAAAATGATTTATTCACGATATTTATAAAGATATTAAGCTGAATTTAATACATTGATTCAAACTACAATTTGAAATTATTTGCTAAATTAATTATTTATTTAACCGAATAAGTCATACTTAAAAGTTATTATTAATCTCTTTTTGTCAACATGTCAATAATTATTTTTAATGATATTTTATGTGATCCTTCACAATATAAAAGAAAATCTGACGAAAAACTTTACTACTTTTATATGCCAAATATGCGGTGGAAAAGAGAGGAAATTACAAAAATATATGCTGAATAAGTCCGAATTTTTTTTTCTCCCTTTCTACCGCAATACGGCCAATTATAAGCCGAGATATTGTTTTGAAAATTAAAATTAATAACCCTATTGTCGAACCAACTAAAATACTTATGAAAAAAATCTCGGTGGTTATTTATCGTCCAATTATTATTGGATGTTTTCTTATCTATATAAAAATATTAAACATTGTTCTGGATTGTAATTATCTTTCTGAATTTATTAAATTTTATTATAGGCATAAAATAAATATTAATCCTAAGACCATATTATATTTAATTAATTATTCTAAAATAATAAAGCAGTTAATTTCCTCGTCAAAATATGAAGACATTTAAATATTTTTTTATTTTGCACTAATGAAAAAGATTCAACGTAACTGTTTAAATGAAATATATATTAGCGATCATTAAAGAATTTCTATTAAAAACATTTTTATAAATAGACAAACATTTTATATTATGAAAAAAAATTTCCGTTTAACTTCAGAATATATTTTATTATTTTAACGAGCCACAATGTGAATTTACTGTTTTGTTTTTTTAGAACCATACTTCAATTTTATTTTCTTTAAAGAAATAAGTTTAAAGGCGCGAAATCAGAAAACGTTTTCAATATACTGAACGAGTAATAAAAAATTATCGCAGCTGCGCGAAGCTGCATTTACGACTTTATCTTAAAGATTAATTTAATGTTTACGAATTATATAAGATCATGTCAAAATAATAAAAAATTTTTTATTAAATCCGATCCCTTCCCTACAATCCAATATTTATTGATTTATTCGGTGTAAAATTCAGAACGAATTCCTTCATATGATGTGAACTATCTCTTTTTGTTACATTCAAAATTTTCCAAACCCAAACAATCCAACTTTCTTTTTTTACTTTCATCATCAGAAGTTTCTTCCTCGGATTCCTCTTGCATATCACTTAAATCATCAAGAGCATCAGGATGTCCGATCGACTTTAAAGACTTCTTCAGTTTATCATAACATTTTGGTTGTTTCATGATCATATTTCCGTTAAGTTCCAATCTAGTCAGATTCCTGAGGTATTTGCGGATCGTATCGGCCAATGACAAGTACCCGGCATCATCTATGTGGTTATACTGAAGTCCGAGAAATTTGAGCTTTGTGTTTGATTTTTTTGATAAAGCGTCTAAAATAAAATTTACTTCTTTTGAAGTAAAAAAGCAAGAATTGACGTTCATGTGTTTTAGATTGGACCAGTCGTTCATGTATGATCCAAATTTGCTTGCCAATTTGCTTAAATCGTTGTCTTCCAGGTCGAGAAACTCTAGCCCTTGACATGATTTTAAACCTTCTAATAATGGAGGGAAATATTTGGAATTAAGTTTATTTCGAGTTAAACATACCTTTGTTAAAGTAGCTTTATGTTTGATGAAAATATTTCCCAACAATGGGGTCGTGCGACTGGATCCAAATAAATTCTCTCTAGCGGAAATCGTCTTCAGGAATGAGGACTGACGTTTTGAATTTAATATAGATTTAAAAAGGATCTCTCCTCCTTTTTTTCCCAATCCAGTGTCATCGACATTTATGCTTTGCAGATTTACATTCTGCGTCAGGAATTTGTTCATTTCCTCAATCGCTCCAGGGGCGAGCGCATTCTTACTAATGTTTAGTTCGGATATTGGTTTGTCCTCTATCACGCTGAATATCTTTTTAACGGATGATATGACCTCTTTCTGATTTCTTGTCGTAAAAATGCTACACAAGTTTAATTTCTATTCATCATGATCAAAATAATCGGTTATAATTAAAAAAAAAAAAAAAAAAAAAAAAAAAAAAAAAAGTTTATTTGTAAAAATGAATGAAGGATAACAATTAACCTGTAAATTTTTTTTCGATTTAAGTATGTCTGCTATTTTTACGATTTCATCGTACGATAAATTGCGTAAGCTAAGGTCGATTTCTTCAAGCTCAAGCAACTTTGAAATATTATCAATAATTTCATCTACGGGCATACTTCCGTTCATCATGACAAGTATAAAAAATTCAAATAAAATAATACATAAACATTTGAGCATTTTATAAAAGTTGAAGATGCAAAGTATCAAAAAAGGGATCGTTGAGCATGATTAATAGGTGAAATTGGAATATCCCACGCGCTAAAAATCCAAATTTGCACAAGCGGAAAAAAGAAAATTGATCAATCACGTGACTCATTGATTGATCGAAATTTTTTTTTTTTTTTTTAAATCAAAAGTGATCGAATCGGTGAACAAAGTTTGCAATTAGAAAATGACAATCAGTTTCAGCTAATATATTACAGTTAAAAAAAAAAAGATATGTCTTATTTATGTGCTCGATGATAATTTAATAACGTGCATCAATCACATTTATATGTATAAAATAAAGCATGCGTCCTTATAAATTTGATCTTAGAATAATTCGGTTTTACTGCAAAACGTAAAAATTCTTCTTTTTTTTTTAGATGAACAAATAATTAATCACAGAACGTCTTACAATGGATATGAGCTTTCATGGGTGATGTGCTTTATATTACCTCTGGAATGTCAGAAAATTCCGAACGCCTAAATATTTCACATTCATTTAAAATCCAGAAAGCCATTATTGCTGGTGATTTTATAATGAGTATTTTTACTATTAAAATAAAGGCATGGTTCATATTATTTATTGTCTTTGTCTTTAATTTTAATAGCAATTGAATCTTAACGTTAGAGTTATTAAAAGTTATTTTTTTATTTATTCAATCATTATCAATAGAGTCACTTCATTATCTATTCGTAATAATCCAAAGGTCAGAGATGAATAGCATACCATAGAACTCTTTACTTCTCGATCTAAAAGTAAGAATGATATGAAAAACTGGAAGTGAAAAAAAAAAAATTTTTTTTTTTATTAATTTAATTTGACAAATGGCGTGACAATTAAGCTGCTTCATAAAGCCATTTTAATAAGCCTTGGAGAGAAACAGCCTATTGCTTATTTGAAAAAGTACGCGGTTTTTTTTATTTTATTTGAGAAAATTTCAATTAGTAAAGTTTTATAAGATTCCTTAATTGATGTATATTTAATTAAAATAACGATACAAAAAAAAAAATAATAAAATTACAGTGCGTAGAATTTAAATAAATTATACTATAAAAGGCTTCTAAGAAGGCATCCATCTGGTCCATAATCCGTTGGACTAAGTCGATTAGTCCAAGTGAGCCACCTTAATACGTAGGAGATAAGACATGCATAGTAGCAACGCAAAATCAAATCATCGGCTGCGTAAAGTATAGGCAGCTGGCTTAAAGCTACAGCCCATATTGAAATAAACGAGTCCTTGCAAATAACGTGCATGTATACTGGAACGGCATATGATAAGGACATAATGACTGGTATTTTCCGATCATTTATAAAGCCATCAAAGTGAAGCCACCAGAAACGTGCTATGATGAACAGACAGGTGGTTACGCCTAAAATGTAAACCAGAGTAACCAACACTAGCGTGACTTTAAAGGAGCTAACTTCGAAGCTACCTGGTGATGTATGAGGCAACATCTCGTAGTACCTTTTGTAATGCTTTCGTTTACGGCGTATTATGTAAATAATTGCAAACAGCCAAAGAACGGCCGCAACTATGGTTGCGATTACTGGTACAGCATCAATAAAAGGATTTTGTGATGTTACCGACATGTATATTAGTAGCGCCAAACCGGAGATCCCGGTAAGAACCTGTTCGGCTACAGCAATGTTCCCGTTGTATTCTTTTTGTTGACTGAGATCCACAAGCAAAACGGGTATCAATATCATAATACAATAGTCGAAAAAAGTGTTCACTTTATCCGGCTCATCTCTGTATGCATGAACCGTGGGTAGATAAATAAATATTGAGGTTAACGAGGCTAACGATGCCACATTGGTATCCATACGTTTGTTTCTAGGGATAAGTAGCGAAAAAGCTTTTTTAAAAGAATTAACGACTATAGGAAAAATTGTTCGATGTAAACGGGGAAGACCGGACCGAAAAGGCTAAAATCTGTATTAATTAATTAATAAAATAAAATTACTATTTTGGTATGTTATTGTATTACAAATAAAACAAAATACCCATAATACTGAAATTTAGGTGAAACAAATTCCAGACTTGAAAATTTGTATTAGTTACAAAAATAAATAAGATTTATCATTTTAATTTTTAAAAATAAGTATTAACGAAATTTGAGGGTTCACTAATATTTATTTTTATTCCTATAAACTAATACCTTCTTTTATGGTATGGTTAAATAAGTTGGTAGACAAGGTTTAGACATACTGTAATATGCCATTGCAATAAACTTTACGAATGAAGGTTGCTTACATAATAAATTGAAATTTGAAATTTATGTTTTCAAGAAAATTCCTCCTAACTCAAAATAAAAAAGATAAAAAAATTTTTTTTTATTTTCTCGCTATTTTTAGCATTGGATTGATAAGACATCAATCAGGTTTGGTATCTTTATTTAAATTTCGATCGTTTTAGGCGAATGATTTAATTTTTCGTTTTTACATCCTATTCGTTTTATCGTTCCTTTATTTAGTTTTAATTATTTGTTCTTTCCATTGGTTTTTTTAGGTTTGATTGCTCCAGCTATGTCAGCGGGGTTGATCTTTGAATTACGCTCAGGCCATCCTAGTTAATATTTTAAGAAATAATTGACTTCCTTTTACACATGCAATCTCAAAAATTCGAACTTCGAGTCTGTTGCCCACCTTGATCCGTCCAAAAATTTGCGCGGGGTGGCAATTATATACCTGTTGACACAATAGAAAATTACGTTTCACTAAAACATTATAAAAGCTAAAAATCCGTATTCTATTTGTGAGATGCACTACTATTGTCTCAATTGCGTTGTAATATGTTAGCAATGGACAAGGTATTGATGATAAGTATTTCATTCATTGCAAACATATCAAAAAAAAAGTTGCAAAAGATTGGGCCAGGCTTACATGTGACAAATTCTCATGTTTGCTTTACGTATGAAGGACAAAGTCTTTTTTATTATGAAATAAAATGAAGCAATCCTTTTAATTTGCATATTTATTCTTAAATTTATCAAATAACATTTATTCAGCTAAAAAAAAAAATAAGTTAACGGTCTTCAGCAGTCTTCATAAAAGTCAAAGTAAGTATTTAATAAAGATCTAGCATTACATTAATGGATTTTGTCAATTGAGACTACGTATAATAAATATTTATTTTGAATAAATTTTTGTAATAAATTATATTTAATGAAGAACGTGATTTCATAAATTTCGTTGATACCATGGATAAATTACTATTCTGATGAATATTACTTAAGTCAAAGTTTAAAAGAAACAATGCAAATAATTGATGTAACGATCAAACTTGTGATTCTGTTTTAAAAGATGAATTTTGCCAAAAAATCAAATCTAAATTACAAAGTCCATTAATTTGACAAATTAAAATTAACAGGTACAAATTTTTTAACTATTAATAACAGAAAATCTCGTGATATAAAATTATTTGAGTTTGCTCATTCATAAAGTTCAATACACCACTGTAAAAAAAAAATTACGAAAAAAAATTAATTTATATGAATAGATTAGAATACAAACACACAAAATAAAAAACATATTTATTACCTCATCATTGCCACCTAGTCTTTCTAAATGACAAACAACCTCTTGAAATTTATCGTTATTAATAGTAAATTGAAAAGCATGACTACGTAAAATTTCTTGATTAGAAGAATTAAGAATGTTAATAATGGTATTTGATTTCAAATATCCTTGAAAATTTTCTAATTTACTCTTTTTAAACTTCCATTGGGTATTATAACCTAAAAAATCCACTAAAGAAAATAAAGTATGAATCTTAAACCTCATTTGACAATATAAATTGCTTTAACAAAAATTAATGAAATTAATGATTACCTTCTGTGTGCCCAGTTACTGGAGATTTATAATATGAAGGAATTCCAAGTAATTTATTAGAATTTTTGTGTCGTAAATTTATCGTATCGGAGTATGAAGCTAATTCTTTATCGCTCGTGAAAATAACTTTCCATAAAACATCCGTATTAAGTAAATTATTTGCAAAAACCTAAATTTATTATGTTTAAGAGTCATAAAATTTATCTATAAAGATAAAAAAAAAAATGCATACCAATTGAGACCTGCTTCCGGTTGTATAACATAAATTGTCAATTGAACTTAAATATTTTCCTGTAGTAACATGTTTAAATGTTACAAAAGATCCGTTTTTGATTAATTTTGACTCATCCATAACGATTTCCTCAAATTCTTTAATTAATACATTCATATGATTAATTCTTTCTCTCCTCTTAAAAAATTCAGTTAAAAAATAACCATTTGGAAACGATTGACTTAGGTATTTCATTTGTTCCTTTATATCATTAATTTCTGCGTTATAACATAATTGCCGAAAATTTGAAATAAATTTTGAAGTTTCACCTCCTTCTTTGTCAGGAACATATTTTAATAATTGTAATTTCCATACATTCGTATTCTTGAATATTGTAAAGGAAATGTCCTTTTTAAGTGCATTAACTAGTTCATTTAAAGTAGCTATGTCTTTAGGAATATCAATGGTAGGATTAATCACCAACTTTGCAAATTTAAGGATTTCTTCGTCTTTTGTTATTTGTTTAAGAAAACAATGCGCTTGAACTTGTTTAAGCCATATATTTGGATGGATATTTCCATCATATGTCGGGAGTTCCATTTTAATGTTGTCGGAAAAGTCTGTCGAATTAGTGTTCGTCTTATAACCTACATGAAGATTGCACAGAAATATTTAATTAGTATGGTCGATCACGATTTTTTTTTAAATTTTTAATTTATTTGAAACGAAATTATTTGAAATAGTGTCAAGAATGTTTTAGAAAGAGAAAAAGTATTTTAACAACAAAATAAAATTATAAATAAAACATTTATTGCGTACTGCGCAATATGCAGGGGTGTGCATTTCAAATGTTGTTGTAAATTATTACCTAATATGCTCTGTTCAGGAATATTTAATTGTAAATTTAGCTGGTCGTCATGGAAAATCAACTCTAATAAAGGAATTATGTTGCGCATCTTTCCATGCGTAAGCACATATTTATTTTCTTTTTTTTGGAGCGTGGAGAACCAAGGTAGCTGTTTCACGATTTTGAAGGAATAAAGGGAAATTTGTAAGTACTAAACTAGGGAATCCTATGAACATTATCATGCACGAATATTATCCATTTGCCTCTCACAAGTCTTTTTTCTACAATTTGGGTGATACAATAAATATAATAGACTAAATTTAATATGGAATAATTTTTTAAAGTATTAATGAATTAAGTTTCATTCTTTTGATAACCTAGTTATTAGAACCTCAGTATAAAGCTAAGATCAATGTATAGTTGCCCGGAAAATCTCATTTCCAAAAGTCGAAACCCTATATTTCAACGGATTTGTTAAATAAACCTTTAATATAATTTTGACTTTTGACGGGATTTATTATGGTTTCGAGTAAGATTATATTATAGTTTTACCAGTTATCCCGTCGAAACTCGAGAGTTTTCCCAGGCTACTATGGTTCAATTGTATTGTTATAACCAACAGAACTACATCTTTGCATGGAATCTCTCTTGCTGACTGCAAACTTATTGAATTAAATGAATTTCTCTTTATATCAATAATAAATATCATTGTTAATGATAAAATTGCTAAATTAAGAGGTACTAGTTTCGTACAGGTTTTATAATCATACATTTTTTGTGCAGCATTTGGAACTGGGTTTATATAATAACAAATTGCATATTGAAAACTTTTTGAGATGAGCACCATTTTTTGTGGTTGTGATGGTGTGTGTTTGCGATTTATAATTTTATTTTTTTTTGGTTTAAAGTAGTAAACTGTCGGGAATAATAAAAAAGAGTGATACGAAAAGGAGTGGAGTCGGGTGGAGGTGATGAGTAGAGTATATCACGTGTTATGATGTTGAGTATATTTTTTAATACTAACCTAACCCTTACCTAACCCTAATCTAACCCTAACTCCTAACAATTCAGTATGACAAACCATATTCAACATCATAACACATGATATACTCTACTCATCACCTCCACCTGACTCTACTCCTTTTCGTAATACCTAATAAAAAATGAGTTACAGCTAATTTCAAAAGTCACAGGACGGACGATCATTTTGCAGATAGATAAAAAAATCTCGGTATAGAATTTTTTGAAGAAAAACATAATTGCTACGTTCAGATCAATGTTCCGAATATATATATATAAATGTGGTTGGCTTTTCAAAATCCTTAAACATAGCTGTAATTATTGACGGAATGCAAAATTTAGACGCGATACTTTGCAAATTAAAGTCGAGTCTAACAAAACCGATATGCGATTGAAATATCATTTAATCAAAAAAACCCTTTATCCCATCTGATAATAAAAATATTTTAACATGACGGAATAGATCTGTATACCATAAATCACATGATCACGAATTTACATTATCCCAAAGAACAACATCCATACCCGAATATCATTTAATAATGTTAAAAATAGAAAATTTCAAGAGGTTTATTAAAATATATGCAAAAAGATTATATATTCGAAGGGCGCAGTAACGAAGTTGCGAAGATGTGATTTATATGTCAAATATCGGGTTATGACATTCGGAAATTAATGTTTTTTTCGGAATTTTTGACATCGAAATTAAAATACCTTCAAGACGTGATATTAAATAGACTGAATAATTTTGTACGTGAATTTTATTTTTAAATTAAAGAGTAGAATAATAAATTAGCAAAATAAGCTAACAATAATTAAATTAAAAATCAACGAAAAATATAGGAATAATAATATACCATTACAAACATTTAAAAGACATTTAATAGTGATTAGATGCAACTAATTATTAACTTT